AAATCAGGCACTTTACCAACTGAGCCACCCAGGCACCCCCATAACTGCACCTTCTAACTGATGCAATTAACTAAATGACAGGAGAAAAAGTGTAAGTTGGTTAAACATCTTTTCAGAAGACAAATTTGATTAAAAAAAAAGTCAAATTTGATCATTTAAAATGATCATGTATCAGAAAAAAATAAAAATAAAATTTTTAAATAAGGTGATCATGGGACGCCTGGGTGGCTCAGTCGGTTAAACATCTGACTCTTGGGCGCCTGGGTGGCTCAGTTGGTTAAGCGACTGCCTTCGGCTCAGGTCATGATCCTGGAGTCCCGGGATCGAGTCCCGCATCGGGCTCCCTGCTCGGCAGGGAGTCTGCTTCTCCCTCTCATGCTCTCTGTCTCTCTCTCTGTCTCAAATAAATAAATAAATAAAATCTTTAAAAAAAAAAAAAAAAAAAAACATCTGACTCTTGATTTCGACTCAGGTTGTGATCTCAGGGTCATGAGACTGAGCCCAATATGGGGCCCTGCACTCAGCGTTCAGCGTGTAGTCTGCTTGAGATTCTCTCTCTCCCTCTGCCTCTGCCCCTCCCGCTGCTCACGTGCACACGCTCTCTCAAAATAGGCAAAATCTTAAAAAAAAAAAAAGGTGCTCATGTAGCACAAATTTATACAAGTAGAAAAATAGATCATTTTTCTTTAAGACATCAAAAATCTACTATGTGATACTACTTAAAAGTCTTTGGTCTTACTTCAGGCTCTACAAAGCGAAGGTTCTTGTGTTAGAACAAACCGTCCCACTTTCATGGCTTGTCATTTTGTCCTTCTTTTCAATACCATCACATACTACATAATCCTTTTTATTCAATACAACTGAAACTAATGATATTAATCAAAACAGTAGATTGCAAAGGGGAATCTACAAAAAAAAAATTACACCTTAAACATTTTCTTTGAACTTCAAACCTATAAATGTATACTCTGTTGCCAGTCTTCTGACGCAGGCCTTTTGAGTTGTAGATCCACTGACTATAGTTCCAGTCTCACACAAACCACACCCATAATGCATCGTCCACAATTTCTAGTTTCAATTGCTTTAAAAGTGAAGCGAGACTTAAAAATACTTGCCAAGGATCTAAATGAAGAATTCTTCCAGATTACAAAAAAACAGAAATTTGTAAACATCTATAGGTATCTCCTTATTGGCTCACCTTATAGTCTTTCCAAGGCAGTTAACTTAGTTTTCACAGAATCAACAATTCTTATATTTTAGTTATTTTTCTTTGGCTTACAAAATTTTATATTAAATTATATAATTATATTACAAGTGCAAGTTGTCATAATGTGATCCAACCAATGGGCAACAGTATGTCTTACAAAAAGAGAACACAATTTATTAAGACTAGCATCCCTGTTACAAAAGATTTAAAATCACTTCTTACTGCTTCTATTGTACTTGGAACAGTACCTGGCACATAAGAAGTACTATCTAAGTATTTGCTACTATATTAGCATTAAAACTAAACTAGCTACAGGGGTGCCTGGCTGGCTCAATAGGAACAGCATGCGACTCTTGATCTCATGAGTTTGAGCCCCACACTGGGTATAGAGATGATTTAAATAAATAAATAAATACACAAACTTAAAAAAAAAACTAGGGGGGCCTGGATGGCTGTCAGTTAAGCATCCAGCTCTTGGTTTCAGCTCAGGTCATGATCTCAGGGTCTTAGTATCGAGCCCGGCATCAGGCTCTATGCTTAGCAGGGAGTCTGCTTGAAGATTCTCTCCCTGTGCCCCTCTTCCGACACTCACATGCTCTCTAAGTAAATAAATAAATCTTTAAAAAACAAAAACAAACAGAAACCCTAAACTAGCTACAGATAGAGTGCATGCAACGGTGGAATTCTACCTACTTTACACAGCCCCTAGAGTCACAGAGACAACCTGTACTTAAATTGTCAAAATGGGGTTCCTGGCTGGCTCAGTCGGTGGGGAATGCTACTTTTGGTCTTGGGGTTGTGAGTTCGAGCCCCACGTTGAGTACAGAGATTACTTAAAAAAATAAAATGTTAAAAAAAAAGAGAGAGAACAGAGTAGGGAATAGAAACTGCAATAGGTCCTCACTGAAAACATGAATATAAGGCAGAGTCAGTTTCACATAACTACAAGTGGATTATCCAGTACTTAAGGGAGGAGATCTTAAAAAAAGAAGTAGGCTAGCTCACATATCAGGTCAACAAGAAATGAAAAAGTAGGTTCACAACCCAATTTAACCTCCTCACCTCAAAAATGCTAAGAGGATGGTTACATGTCCTCCTAAAAAGTGGCACTAGACAGAGATGGAAAACCAGCTGTATTTTCTCAGTGCACATTAGGCTACTTTCCTCTATCATTAACTCACTAGTGACAGAAAACACCAATCTCAAAAAAAAATCCATGCAGTGCATCCCAAGGCACAAACTTTTGGTTAACCAATTATAAATTAAATACGCTAACAGAAACTGAATGTATATAAATGCAATATGCAAGAAAATTTAAAACTTGTGAATTAAAATCCTACACATCAGTGAAGAGCAAATGAAACATAAATGATAAATGTGGTGGCTTTACCATTTTGTTTTTGCCTAAGTTTTGTAACGCAGTTATCTAATTTGCAGGTGAAAAAAACCTGAAGCAAGATGACAGAAGATCTATTAACAACCAGAAGTTCAAACACCGCAGCTACTTAAAACACTCTTGTCCACTAGGAAAGAATCCACAGTGGCACTGACTTTCTTCCTTCTATGGACATCAAAAAGTACTGAAAATGATATGAATAGTTAGGAGAGACTCAAGAGACAGCCCCCGAGGGCTACACCAGTCCCACTAGATGGCACTATCACGGGAAAGGCACTCGGGTCTCCCATTTGGCGCAAGGGCTGAAAGCCTCTTGATCTTTGCAAAACTGAAAACTACCAATTCAATGACATCCTCGTTGGGAAATTATGACCCATAATGAGGAATTCAAAGCTAGAAGGAGGAGTTTTTCTCAAAGCACCTTCCCTCCCAGTAGCATGGCCTCCTCCTCCCCAGTCCTATTTCAAATCAGTGGTCTGAGGGATACCATATTTTGCAGGCAAAAGAAGTCATACAAAATGGAGATTTTTTTTTCTTCTTCCTGACTCCAAACTACAGAAAAATTTACTTGCTTCCCCCCACCCCCGCCACGTTTCTTTGCTATGGGAAAAAATCAATCGCTTGCTGGTCCTTGAACAACATTTACTGTAATCAGTATACTTACTATGACTAAAAACATCAAAATAACATACAATCAGTGACATTAAAACATTTAGATATAAATAAACTTCTTCATATATAAAAGGAAGAACTTCCTATTAAGCAGGCAGATTAAGTTTTCTGACACCTTAATTACATGATTTTAAGTTGGGCCCGGGCAGCAAGATTCACAATTGTCAATTATCCCCATCACTTATGCCCTACTCCATCAGAAGTATACTTGGATATAGCTATCATGATCTTAAAAAACTGAAGAAAAGCATGCTTACGACAAAACCCAATGAATTTAAACAACATACAATGTGAATACAAACTTACTTTTATTCCATAGGTGCCCACTTGCACAGACAGAAGATTTGGATAGGAACCTTCTGCTGAGTTCCCAAATTAAAAGACACGTCAAAGGACATTATTAGGTAATCAACTGAATCAGAGATCAATCTAATACTCAAATAAACTGCTCACTTCCAGCTGAAGCTACTTCTCCTAGATCAGAGAACTCATATTTATACGTATAGTGTCTTTAATATATGTCGACAGTCGGTATAGCCACTCCAAAGTGCCACAAGTCAATCATTTAATAAAAGTGGCCAAAGAAACCAGGAACTACAAAATACGTAACGAATCCTGTGTTCCCATGGCACCTGGTCACAGTTCTAATACAAATCTCACCAAAGTATCATCTCCCTCTCACGTTCTCCACAACGGAGGCTTGGAGGCACTGAGCTGTCCTTCCTGACACCCTCCACAAGGCCTCCTACACAGCAGGCACTTAACAGCTGTTGAATGAACCAAAAAACTATCAAGCTGTTCAGCTCACCAAAACTATGAGACCCCTCAAAGCAGCCAGTTTTTCCCACTAAACCTTGCCAACACCTTCACCTTTAAGAAGCTACTAACCAAAGCCTGAGACTAACATTCAGGTCACCGTAAGAAACAGCACAGAAAGAAATGTATCGCATGAAGTCAAAGATCAAAAATTCACAAGTCTCAAGCCCAAGTAATGCAACAATCTCGGATTGGTGAAGCTTTGAAATAAGACCTCACAAATATATTTTACATGTTGTATTAAAATCATAAATATATTGCACTAAAACCATCTTATGAAAGCAGAGGGGTGAACGACATGAGGATGCACAGGAAGCCATAACGTTGCTTAACTTAACCACCTGACGATTAAATGGGGGCTTGATCTTACTTTATGCTCCCAGAACAAAAATGGTGAGTAAAAAGGAAAAACAGGAGGAGAGAGAAGGCAGTCTGGGGGGTGCAACCAGGAGGAATCTGTTGAACTGCAGACTGGGAGAATGACAAACTTAACAGAAGCAGATTTTTCAAAACTCTAGCATGTAACTATCCAAAAAAAAAAGCGCCATGTAATGAATCTATGCCAGTATCTTTTTGTTAACAGCTTTTTTTTTTTTTGAATGACTGAGGAGTTTTGACAAAATATGGCACAAAATCCAGATATACACCCCATCAGTATCCTTGCAACAAGACCCATGGGAAACCTGTCCCACATTAGAGGGGAGAGAGAAGCATATACTCCCACTCAGAATCCCTTCAATACTGTTAAGTTAGGGGAGTGACTGGTAGGACCTAAGAAAAGTTCACTGGAACCATGAGCTGATCTCCCCTGCAATCTATCAGCATGGCCCACCCAAACTGATCTTAATTGTTTTCTAAATGTGTTTCAATTAGTCCACGAACAGTGTTCACTATCAGCATTTTACTCACCTTACTAACACCAACTCCTGTAAACCTGGCCTCTAATAATTCCTGCCGTCGAGGGTCCAGGCTATGCAATTCTTCCATCATTTCTACTGAAAAAAACAAAGTAAGTTGTAAGACCATAAAAGCTAAAAACAGGAGGTACCAATCTGTAGATAGAACAAAATGCAGTACTTATTTCACTGAATGGTCACACACAGGTAAAGCTCAAGTAGACACAGCAGACAAGGGATAAACTACAATGCGCTGCCTCAAACAGCAACACACGGAAAGTCAAAAATGGCTCAGAAGTCCTCTTCCGAGGGCTACTTACCCTTGTCTAGTTCTGGTCTGATTTTAACAGCAAAAACCTCCAACCCTTCATATAATCTCAGTAAAAGTTGAGCGAGGACTACCTTGCAAAACAACAACAACAACAAAATCCTTCTATCAACCTTTACATTTAACTAAGTACTTTTGGATATTTGTTTCCCAAACCCATGGGAACTAGTTCATAAACTAAAAATATGAATCGTTAATAATAACTTAAAAATAATGTAGCATGAATCAGAAGCTACAAATAACTTCAAATAACTCTATTATATAGCTCCTTGCTCTGAAGAGCTCACGAAAAAAGGAATTAATTATTTTAAATTTAATAGAGAACCCATGGTAAAACCATCAACCAGCATGCACTCAGGAAATCAGTAGAGCTCCATAACCATCCCTTTACAAAATCTTTTTCTGACCACTCCCTGGAGCAGTAGGTTTCTCTAGACATCTGCTCTGAGCACTTCTTTCAAGCAGGGAAGGGCAGGAGGACACCATTTTTAAACTCCTTCCACGACCAATAAATGCACAGGCTACTTTCAGCAAATATGTCCATCCACTGCAAGAGATCAACTCCTGCAGAATCCATTGGAAACCTCTCTAATATTCAAAGTGGAATAGGAGCATACACCATTACACAGAACCCTTTTGAGCATATTATTAAACAGCTATTGGAACGACTGGCATGATTTAAAAGTTCACTGAGAACATGAATTAAACATTCTCCTCTGCAATCTAGCAACCCCTACCAGTCCTCCAGTTTCATTTCCCTTCCTGGATTGAGAGCCTGGGGCAAAGGGGAATGAAAGGGTGACAAATTCAAGTTTCACCCACACAAACAAGTGCAGGTTAGCGAGGGAATAAGGAAATTCTCGAAAAGGCAGAAAGGCATCTTAAAAAAGAAAAAGAAAGGAAAAAGGGGATTGAGAGAGAGTGCTTCTCCTAAGTGGCCTTCCTCGCGTCTCGCCCTGCCCTAATCGAGGCCGGAACGGCAGAGGTTGCAGCCTCCCTCACACCCAAGGGTCTCTCGGAACATTTCCTAAACCTCCATCCCCAGGCCTGGGCCGGAAAATGACGCCCCAGCGGTTATTCCATTTAATGTCAACTCATGTTAAGGAAATCTCCACTCTGTCTCACTCCAGCGGGGCCTTGCACTGGGATCCTCCCTGCAGCCCTCCCTACAGCCGGGAAGCAGAACCGATGGGGCCTGGTCCCGGCGCCCCTCGCCTCCCGCCGGCTCCGAACTTTCCCCAACTCCAGGCCCACCTGTCACGGAGGGCGGGCGGGCCGGCTCTCGGGGGCGCCCGGGAGGCTGCCGGGGCCTCCAGCTGCCGGGGCGTCCCCTTCGCCCTGGCGGCCGCCGGGCCCACTTCCAGGCCGGGGCCGCCTGGGCCTCCCCCATCTTCAGCCCGGCCCCTCGGCGACCCGCAGCCCTCGGGGAGCCCCTCCCGCCTCAGCGCCGAGGAGCTGCGGCCCGGAGCCGGGCCCCGGGTGGGCCCGGGCCGCAGCCTCCTCAGCTGAGGGGGTCCCCCGGACGGTTAATGCCCCAGGCCCGGCGCCCTCCCCCGCCCGGAGCTCAGCCTCTCACCTGCCGCCGCCGCCGCCGCTCCACGCTCCTCCCGGGAGGGGCCCCGACCCGACCCGGTCGCGGACCGCTCCGCTCTCCCCCTGGGCAGGCCCGGGGCGGAGCCGGGGCCTCTCCTGAGCGCCGCAACCCCCCGCCCGGGCAGCTGCCGCCGGCGCCGGGCTCCACGAGAGGGCGGGCGGGGGAGGGGGGCCGCGGAGGCCGCAGATCCCCGGGCTCGCGTACAGAGCCAGGCGCCTGACGCGGGCCCGGGCCGGGGCGGCCGCGGGGGGCGCGGGACCGGCCTCCTGGCGCCGGACAAAGGCCAAGGGAGGCGCAGGAGGGCCCAGGCCGGGCCGGGAGGTGGGGGCCCGCTCGGCTGGGGGCCACTCGGGTGCGGCGCGGAGGGCGGGGGGGGGGGGTCGGAACCGCTGGTGCCCAGGACCCGCCTCCGGCCCCTTAATCCGGATCGGTTCGGTCCGGATTAGTAGTGATCGGTGTAAACACACTAGTGAAACCGCGTGTTTCCTCGCGAGATTTGCACGGCTGGGAGGCAGGGGGGGTCCTGGGGGGGTGGGGGAAGAGCCGACAGTGGGGGAGGAGGGGGAGGGGACGAGGAAGGTGGGGGGGTCCCCGCTGCCCCGGCGCCCCGCCTCCTCCAATCAGCGGCCAGGCTGGCGGGCAGGGGTTAACCAGGGGACCCCGCGCCGGCGGAGGAGGCCGCCGCCTCGCCGGGCGGCGCCGGCGCCGGGCCGCCCCGAGCCCGACCCGGGCCCGAGTCCCGGAGCCCCCGCCGCCGTCCGTGTGTAGCCGGCCCCCGCCCGCGGGACCGGCCCGGCCAAGGCGGTTGAGCCGGCGCCCTGGGCCGCGGACCGGCGCTGGAGGGGCCTCGCCGCCTGGGCCGGGCGCTCCCCGATCCGCCTCGCCGAAACCCGCGCCCGCCTAGTCCCTCGTCTCCACGAGTTTGGCTGAGAAGTGGGCTTGCTCTGCCCAGGGATGGATCTTAGAGGAAGAACGCCCGTGAGCCGGCGGACCCCGCCCGAACTTCCTCGGAGACGCCCAGTTAGTGAGTTCGCGGTGCCCACCGCGTTGGCCTCTCGCACGCCCCGCCACTCTCCACAGGGACCGTCCGGCTCCCCAAACCCACACCGGCCGCCCTGGAAAGCGGACAGCCACTTTCCCTCCACATACCTGGCTGGCAGAGGGCGCCTCTAGGGACAAAAGGTGCCCTGGGATCAAAGCTGAGCCCCCAACCCCGCCGGGATGCTGCCCTCCGGAAGGGGGGGCGCTACCCCAAAGGGACACCCCGGGCACCCAGGGGGGAGGGTCCATTTCCATCTCTGATTAAAAAAAAAAAAAAACCACGGCCCTCCTAGGTACTTAGCGGGACCTGCGGGTAAGTACTGGAATGGAAAATACACACAGGACGGCTGCTGAGGAACGAGAAATAGGAAGGGATGAGCTGTGGTGCCCCTGCAGCAAGGAGGGCCTCCTGCATAGGAAGAGGCGCCCACTCTGATCACCCAGCAGCACCAAAGGAGAAAAAAAAAAAAAAGCCCATTCTCACCGACTCCTAGGAGCCAGGACACAGGCTTCAATGCAAATACTCAACTTTGTATTTTGCTCTGACGCCTAAAGATGATTTAAGGAATACAAGTGATTCACAAGGGGAAAATTCAGACAATGAACAACAAACAGCCTTGAACTTTTCCAGGGGGTAGGCTAGTACTTCAAGTGGAGTTTGTGCCTTTTTCTCTTGCTTATTTTTTAATTCGTGTTATATTAACAGAACACAGACTTGCTGAAAGAGCAGAGGATGGCAGTTTACTGTTCGTTGTTTGACCTTCCATACCCTTGGACCAGTTCAGGCACTGTGGGGAAAAAAAAAAATCCATTAAACCAGGAGTCACCTTGCCCCAGATCCCAGCCAGGTTGGAAGGTGCACACACATATTTCCAAAGGTAACAGTGTTTGAAGGGGAGGGGGAGAGCCAGTTAGGGGCAGAGTGTAGGAAAAAAGGTCAAGGTGGAGGGCTATCAAGAGAGCTGGAGAACCAAGGGGCACACAGTATACACAGGACTTGCCTTCCCCTCCAACACAAAAGACCAGCAAATGAGGCAAGCTCTTGCATTATAGTGAATAATCAAGAAAGCAACTCCTTAAAGCGACGCTGGAATGTCGGGAGAAAAGAGTTTTAAGAGGAGCACTGGACAGAGAATGAGAGCTGAGTTCCAGTCTAGCTGTCCCACAGACAAGCTGCATGGACCTGTTTGTTACCCAACCTTTTCAAGCTTTCAACTTCATCTATGAAGGAACGGTTTGGACTAGATTTACAAAGTCCTTTCCAGGTCTAAAAGGCTATGATTCCATTTTAGGAGGTAATTATTTCGAATAATCAGTGGCATACAGGGCTAAAGGTGGTATTTTTAGTTTCACTTTTTCTAGTGTGTTTTTTCTCAGCGTGTCAAAGTTCCAATGTCGTAGGTCTCTTCACAGCCCCACTCTAGATTTAACACTCATCCTAGAAAGAATTGCTTGTAGGAATTTAATGAATTTGCTTACCACAAAGATTGGGTGCTTCTATTTATAAGTGTTGTAGAAATGAAGATATTAAATATCAAGAGCAAGGGAAAAGAACCTTACCCTTTCTCAGAGAAAGATGGGTAATTTCAAAATAAATTCTCTTGTCAGATGGTTCCTCTCACAATGTGACTGAACCTTGGGTTCATGAATCAGCTTGTTTAAAGTGTGTTTGCTCACATGGCAACTTGGTCAGACTCAGCTTGTCATAGACTGGCAAATGGTGACATGCCCCATGCAAAGACTCAGTTCCCATTAGCTGTGGAAGGCTCAAACACGGATCCAACCAGGTTCGTGTTCATAGTCACAGGGAAGACCACGGAGCTGGCTGGACATGCCTCAGACTAGTCCTGGTGTTCCCCAAGTTGTGCTCTGCAAGCCTTGATAGGTTAATACGCTTTAAAGGGAGTATCCATACATTGGTCCTTGGGAAACTCTTGGTTAAAGCGAAATGGAATCAGTTATTTCCGTACTACTTGGAGCCCAAAATGTGCAATAGGCATATGGCAATCCGGGCGGGGGGGGGGGGGTGGCGGGGAGATGGAGGTTTTCAGTACTTTTCCATTTAACTTTGGAACCACTACTCTGGTTTTGGTTGGTTGACTGGCTGGTTGGCTGGTTGAGTGTAGTCATGGAAAAGGTGTTCTGAGAAAGACACTGGGGGAAACTGGTGTAACCTTTTGCTTTTTAACCTGTACCACACTAATGATTGTCCAGCATCTCCTTGAATGTTTCATAATATCCACCATCTGCAAGCAAAAAGATCCTGGCATATGATACTGAGCAGGTTGACAGTGAGTCTTAGTGTGATTGCACCTTGTCTAAAAGGAGCCTGCAATGTGGTGGCTTAAGAGGACAGACTTACTAGGCAGTGTCCTTGATTTTAATCCGTCCTGCCTCTTATCAGCTGTGTAGTCTTAAGCAAGATATTTAAGTTCTCCGTGCCTCAGTTTCTTTATCCACAAAATGGTGTTAAAAGATCCCCGGACTGTTGGAGGATTAAACGAGATTATATATATATATATATATCATAGTAGATTGTTTATAATAGAGTAATCCCTGAAATCTGTGGTCCCCAAACTCCACATTTCTGCAAAAGGTTTATGTACATTTGTCATTAGACTGGTTTAAGGGCACACAGTTTAACTTTGGGAGCCCATGGAAGTCAGGCTGCCAATGTCTGAGTTGTTTAGGTGTTTTTCTTCATCGCCAAAAAAACAAAGAAAAAGGACTTGATGTCTTTTTAATGAAAGCATTACATTTGTTGGCGGGGAGGGGTGTGGGGAGTAGAGAAAAACGGGTCACCTGCCTGGTCTCTTTATGCTCTTCTTCCCCCAGCCCCGAGAATTGAGGGTTTTGAGGGTTTTGAGGGTTTCTCACCGTATGAATAAATAAGGAATTTCGTAAAGGCAATATTTCCACTATAAATTGCGCTAGGCAGGACAGTGTAGAATCCTAAAGTATTTATGACCAGACAGAATGAGGTTCCAATCCTGACTCTTCGCCTCTCGGGGTCTCCGTCTGAAAACGAGCCAGCACACCTAATTCCATGAGTTGCTTTAATTAAAATTGAAACAGTGATGGGAACCGGTTTGTAACCATGCCTGACCTACAGTAGGCGTTGAGTCAATGTTATTTCCCCTCTTCTCCCCATTCCTAACAAAAGGGAAAAGTGGTTGGTTGCCTGCACTACAGATTTTATAAAAATTCAGATCCCAGCCTTCGTCAGACTCTCCGCCAGTCACTCTCCCATCTCTGTTTGGCGTAGCCTCCTCCCACCGCTGAGCTTGCTTCACAAACTCCTCTTGAGCAAGTGCCCTTGACACCGTTTGCTTTATTTATCAAGTCATGCATTCTTCCCCACAGCCCACTGACAGTGCAACAATCTTATTCTCCTGGAGAGTACCTCCCTTCTCTAATATCCTCTTCCAACTCCCTCCCCGCAAGTTATTTTTTAATAAATGTTTTTTCCCTGCATTGTGTGTTCCTTCCCAGCAGCTGCAATGCAAGATAGACAAAGAGCAAAAGAGAGTAAATGCACTTAAATGTAACAAATCCCCTCCCCTTAGCTACTCAATCCCCCGTACCGGTCGTACTGGTCGTGCTCAGAAAGATAACTTCAATAGGAAACAACAGCAAACATGATATTTGTGGAAACTGGCAAAAGTGATTTTTAAAGTCTTGGTTCTTCTTTTGTCTTTAAAAAAAAAATACGTGTCTTTATAAAGTGTATTTATAATTTTTTTTTTAGTAATCTCTACTCAAACTCACGACCCCAAGATCAAGAGTCAGATGTGCCACGGACGGAGCCCGCCAGGTGCCCCCCTCCTGTTGGCTTTTTATATTAAGCTTCAGTCATCAACCTTCTGACACAGTGACACGGTCATGAGGGAAAGGGAGCCCGAGCCCCATGCCCATAGAGAAGAAAAAAGGGGATCACCCGGTGAGGGGCAGGAGGCGTGGGGATGGCCAGCCCCAAAAGGCAAGACAGAAGATGAGCGCCTTCTTACACAGCCTCTGAGCCAAGAATGAGCTTTACATTTGTAAATGGTTGAAAGAAAAGAGGAGGAATAGTATGGCACATGAAAATTACATAAACTTCTAATTTGGGCATCCATAAATAAAGTTCCATTAGAATACAGCCACACTCATCCTTTGCATGCGGTCTGTGGCTGCTTTTTGCACCGCAAAAACAAAACAGTAATTGTGACAGGCCAGGAAGACCTGAAATATTTACCACCTGGTCCTTTACAGAAAAAGTTAGTCCACCTTGGCTGCGGGCCAAGGACTTCTCAAATTGTAATAAGCATATATAACGCTCGGGCATCTTGCTAAATGCAGGTTCGGACTTAATAAGTCTGGGATGGGGCCTGAGACTCTGCATTTCCAGCAGCTCCCAGGTGACGCTCTTGCTGCTGGTCTGCAGACCTTACTGAGTATCGAGGCCTTGAAAGGCTTGTCCGTCTTATGTTAATTTTTGTGAATGATTTCTAAGTAAGCAAATCTTAGAAAATATGAAAACTTGGAGTGTAACCCAGGATAATAACCTCAAACAGATTTTCCACGTTTCATCCCATTGTTTTGCATCATGTGACGGCCTGATGGCTGAGGAAATGGATTTGCCGGCAACCTTGCTGAGGCCAAAGGGATTGCAGCCCCAACACTTCTGGGATGTGAGGCTCCCTTGTATTTTTTTTTTTTAAAGATTTTATTTATTTATTTTTACAGAGAGAGAGGCACAGCGAGAGAGGGCACACAAGCAGGGGAGTAGGAGAGGGAGAAGCAGGCTTCCCGCTGAGCAGGGAGCCTGATGCGGGGCTCGACCCCAGGACCCTGGGACCGCGACCTGAGCCGAAGGCAGACGCTTAACGACTGAGCCACCCAGGCGCCCCGTGAGGCTCCCTTGTATTTGCCGTAAACTCTCCATTCTGGCCCCAGAAAGACCTTTCTGAGTTCACCTTACCCAAATTATTCTTGATTTTTCCAATTTGAGGCAAGTCCCCTCTCTCAGCTCTTCCTTCAGGGACCAGCGCTTCTCAGAGTGACCAACACTTGGAGAAACATCCAGGGTTCAAATCCTAGCCCTTCTAACGTGTTCTGACACCTAGGGGCACGCAAGTTCTGGTGCCTCAATTTTCCTACCTGTGTGATGGAGATAAAGTATGTAAAGCCTCTGGATTTGTGGCAGGTGCTTCCAAACCTGCATCTCAAAACTTCAGATACCCCAGACCTGCTCCTCCCCCGAGCTGACTCATTTTAGCAAATGTCAATTCCATTCTTTCACGATCTAGACCTGAAACCTTGGAATTATCCTCTTCTACTTTTACCGCCGGCTCCTCCACTCCAGCCTCACTCTCTGCTCCCACGTCAGGGCCTTTGCACTTACTATCCCTTTACCTGCAATGCTCTCCATCAGATACGTAACTGGCATTGGCCGCAGGTTTTTACATCACATGAAGTGCATCCTATCTTCTGTGTACATATGATAATGAGATGGAACTGGCAAATAGCTGCCCTTCCATGATAGAGAAGAACTTCCCACCTTTTTTTTTTTTTAATTTGAGAGAGAGAAAGAGAGAGAGCACATGAGAGGGGGGAGGGTCAGAGGGAGAAGCAGACCCCCTGCTGAGCAAGGAGCCCGAGATGGGACTCGATCCCGGGACTCCATGATCATGACCTGAGCCGAAGGCAATCGCTTAAGCAACTGAGCCACCCAGGCGCCCAAGCTTCCCACCTTTCAAGGGACAACCATTCTAAGCTTCTGAGTAGAAGGAAGTGAGGAGGGAGAAGAGCACAGCCCCAAATCAAATGCTTGCTCTCCTGTGCATGCCACTTAAGAGAAACAGACAATAAACACGTGACTGTATGTCAAGGGTAATGAGTGTGTTCGGAGAAAGCAAGCAGGAAACATGAATAGAGCCCTAGGCCCTGGGAGCAGTGTAGATGCTTTCTATAGGGAGGTAAGTCAAGCACAGCTTTTCTCCCATAATGTGCCATCTTAGCAGGTGCCTAAATGAAATGAAGGTGCAAACCCTGTCACTGTCTAGGGAAGGGCCTTCCAGGAAGAGAGAACAGTGAATGAAAATGCCCTGGGCCCAGAACTTGCAGGCCGATGTTGTCAAAGTGTGTTTCTGGGCTTTCTGGGCTGTGCGTGATAGGATGCCTGCCGCAGAGCAGAGAACACAGGTGGACCGTAACTGCGGTCCGGTTCTGGTCTGACGGGGTACTTAATGAATGCTGTAGTGCGTCTCAACAGTTTTGAGCCTGTGTATAACGTCTAATCCCAAAGGATAGGGATTAGAACAGGAAGCACTTACTGAGCATTTATAGGGCAGGCACTAGAATGACAGCATGTTCATTATCACATTTAATCCTTTCAACCTTGAGGGAGGCCCACCATACAGATGAGGAGGACAAAGTGCCGAAGAGGTATGAGGTCCCCAGCCAGCTCATAGGCAGCTGAAGGGGAATTCTCCCAGAGAACTCCAGAACCACCCCCCCACCCCCGCCGGGTTTAGGTCTAGGCTGTATCAGGCTGCCCAAGTGCTCTGTTCTGCCCCTCCTGGCCTGTCCCAGGTTCCACCTGCTTTTTTACTTCGGTTCAATTAACTCTAACTTTCCTCCACCTCGTTCTGGTGTCTTGTTTCATGACCCCGTATTTATTGTGCTCCGCATCTTTCCTATCTGGCAGCTAGCTTTCACTTCCTGTGAAGGTTTATACATGGGCGGTTGGGTAGTTACTTAGGTAAGACTCTTATCAAATTCACCATCACCCAGAACTTGGTTTTCGGTTCTGCAGGTCTCTTGCTTCAGAGTTCATCTAACTCAGGAAGAATGTAATCAAAATACGGAGAGAATGGTACACACCCATGATGTCAATTCACTCATTTTAAAAGGAGAACTTGACCGCCAAGCAGCGACATTTGACCAGCTGACTTTCCTCACAGAAAAGCTACTCAGGAAGGCAAACCAAACCATGAGGTTCCTCTGCGAGCCAGGGGAATGAGTGGGCTAATCTTACTGGCTCACCGTGGCCAGCTAAGTTCACCTGCGGTTCCCAATTCCTCGAAACAGGACACTGTCTTCTAAAAAGCCCCGGTGTTGGTCTGTCCCTGTTGTGGAATCACACCAAAGCCCTGCCCTTTAGACTCCTCTCTTAGACGCTGGGTGGGCAGATCACAGCTCTTCGGAAACCACAAGCAATGTAGAGGCTTACGTTTTCTTAGACATTTGGATCACCCATTTTTAGCCAACTCTGCTTCTTTGTAGGTGGCTGATCTCATCCTACACTTGAGTCTTCCAAGTCTTGTTCTCGGGGCTTTGCAGGTATCTTGGTGAGGCCTCTGGTTTTAGGTTCTGCTTTAACATTTATTAGCATAAGACTTTAGGAAAGTTACTTCAATTTCCTCATCTATCACGCTGACAGCTAACACCTGTCCTCCTCCCGAGCTTGCTCTAAGGATGAAGCCTGTTAACACAATAAAGCTTTTTGAGATTTGGGGAAAAAAAAGAAAAGGATCATGTAAATGCAAAATGAAATAATTTTTCAAAGCAAGATCTCCGTAAAACAATAGTTGCAACAGGGAAAGAGAAGCTGACGTCACAGCTGGCCCCAGAAACCTGCACACAATCTACAGTCTATACGGTCTACCCAGGAGCCCACGGTCCATTATTGATGGGCGTGTGGTTCCATCTGGTCCAAGAACCACCACCCTGAAATATCCTTCAGTATCTTGATCATTTTTTTTTTTAAGATTTTATTTGACAGAGAGAGACAGCGGGAGAGGGAACACAAGCGGGGGGGGAGGGTAGAGGGAGAAGCAGGCTTCCCGCAGAGCAAGGAGCCCAATGCGGGGCTCGATCCCAGGACCTCGGGATCATGACCCGAGCTGAAGGCAGACGCTTAACGACTGAGCCACCCAGGCGCCCCAAATAAATAAAATCTTAAAAAATAAAAAAGAGGGGGGACTTCCTTAGTCACTGCTTTTGCCACCAGGCTGCTTAAGGGGTAGCAGGATTTTACTTTTGTTTGGATGTTCAGTCTCCAGCATCACTGTTGCAAGGATATCACATGGTAACAGGTTCCCCATTCTGATTGCAAACCTGGCATCTCATTGACCAGCCCATCCATTCCACTCCTGTATCAGAGCAGGAAACACCCTGGAAGGTTCTTTTCTCCTCTCACACAGACACAAGACTCACCTGACCGACAGGTCCTTCTTCCCTGGGGTGCCCTTATACATATCCCCGCGCTGACGACCAGGAGCTGGGCACAGGCGTACTGGTACTTAGGAACGGGAAGGGCGCTGGGAGGCCTCGGGTGTTCACATTGCCTGAAAGCCGGCCTCACGCCTGGCACTGATGCAGCATTTGCGTGCCGCCCCGTGGGGCTGGTGCAGGGGGGAGCTGGTCCTGTGCCCTCGTGGGCCCTCCATCTCTTCCCCTCCCCTCCCCGTGCTCCGCAGAGCACACCCCACCCCCAAGAAGTAGGCCTGCGTTTGGTTCTCCAGCACCTGGGGACTTGTCTCTTCCACTAGAAAAAGTATGAAAAGTGTGTGTGTTGTTAACAGATTCCTGTGGCGTGTCCCTTTGTCCACTGGGGGGCGCTGTCTTAGAGCCTGACCTGGGAGCAAGGCTGACCCAGGATCCGGTCCAAGCTCTATTCTGCCGAGCTCTGGTTACTTTGGCTTCCGAGCCTCAACTTCCTCATCTGTAAAATGGGCACACAATACCCATCCAGAAGGGTATACCTAAAGCATCAAGCACAGTGCTTGGCCAAACAGGCAGGCGTAAACATGGGGCTTCCTGGAATGAGGACTTCTTTTTGCTCGTTTGACTTTTTAAAAAACCACCTTCCTAATTGTGTTGATCAATTTGTATTTATGATAACATAAAATTGACTTTGTTTATAGAGTTTTCACGAAGTCTCCAAACTAGAGCTGAGTCCCAGCACTAGCTGCCTAAAGTGTGACCTGCCAGAGGCCCTTGTGGCACCAGCCATGGGAGGTAGGGAGGGGGACCAAGGGACCAGCCTCTCCTCACCCCCACTCCTTGGGAGGCAGCAAACTTTTTCTGTAAAGGGTCACATATAGTAAATATTTCAGGCTACCGTCCCTGTTGCACCTACCTAACTCTACGGGCTAGCGGGAAAATAGCTACAGATGATATGTAAGGGAAGGACTATGGCTTTTTCCAGTTAAACTCTGCCCAAATAAGCTGCGTTAGAATCACCTGGGGGTTGCTTGAAACCTGATCCCTGGGCCCCACCTCCAGAGTTTCTGATTCAGTGGGTCTGCGGCGGAGCCTGTCCCAGCATTTCTAACTTCCCAGGTGAGGCTGGTGCTGCCGGTCTGGGAACCACTCTGAGAACCACCATAGCCGCTCCCACTCCCCTTCTTCTCTGGGCACCTAAAACACTTTATTCCTGCTGCGAATATAGCATTCATTATGTTATATTATGGTTAGTGGTCAGTGTGGGGGTCTCCAGAATCCTTTTTTTTTTTTAATTTTTAAGTAAGCTCTACACCCAACGTGGGGCTTGAACTCATGACCGGGAGAGCAAACATATTACCGACTGAGCCAGCCCGGGGCTCCTCTGGGATCTTTCCTTAATCACCTTCCTATTCTGGTGCCTGACAATAGCAGCTGCTGATCATTTAGTGAATTCAAGGGAGGGTCACAGCCATTGAAGCCCCAGGTCCCTCCCTGCTCCTTGGTGGACATTTCTGTCTGGAGTTCTGCGCAGCCTGGCCCTGCCCTGCCACAGAGACGAGGAAAAGGGACTTTGTCTCGCTGCCTGTCCAGAAACAGACCAGGAAAGGAGACACTCCCTGCTCACACTAGACCTTGAACCTGGACTATTTCCTAAGGAAATAAAACGAGGGAGGGTGGGGGTTGGTTTGCTTAATTTTGTTATTATGATCATCATTATTATTTTGCTTCTAAATGGATTGTTTAATTTGTAAGGGGGCCAGGGTTACATCCAGATGGGTGTTTGCTGTGGAAAACCACTATTTCTGAGTTACACTAAGAGGGCATTTAAAACGAACTGCAGCCACAGCTTTTTCTCAGATCGGACAGAATCAAGTTTGGTCTTGATAAAAAGGAATAATATTAGAGACCTTTCCATATCTCGAGTAGCTCGAGTTTCAGCAACTCCTGGCTCCACCTCCCTCTCCTGGAACTCACTGCCTCCCTCCTGGTTTTTACCCCAAGGACCTCTGCAAGAGGCAGGCGTGGAAGGGAGCGCGCTTCCCCCTCCCCCCTTTGCGGAGGACGTATCGGCAGGAGCTGCGCAGAGATAGGGCTGAACAGTGGGGTAACGGGGATAATCCTAGTCATGGGCTGGCTGCAAACAGCAGATGTGACAATAACCTCCCTCTTTCCGATTCCCAGGCCTGTCGGAGGGAGGCTTACACAGGATTTTCTTTGGTCTGTGAAGTTTCAAGACCATCCCTACCTAAGTTCTGTCCCTCACTCTCTCCTTTCCAAATTAATAGACAAAGCCAGGAGTCAGGACTCCTTCCCTTCCCCATCTCCATGGGCTCCCTGAACACCGCCCAAGGTCCAGACAACATTTGCTGCCCCTCTGGACTGTAGTGTGCTCAGCGAGGACCCAGTAAGCCGGAGCACGGCAAGTCCCCATGGCAAAGGAGCACGACTGACCCCAGCGTGGCTGAGACTCCTTCTGCTCGGCCCTGTCCCTGCCACCTCGTTACCTCTGCCTGTCAATCCATTTTGCATCAATAAACTTTATGTTCAGGGCCTTGCAGAATGAATCAAAGGAGAGCAGCTAAGACTGATCTCTGACCTTGGCACATAAACAGCCTGCAGATTGGACTTGACAGTTAATAAAGGAAAGGCCCCGCAATTCTCGGATGCCTCTTTGCCTTGATTAGATTGAGCGTTCATAAGCTATGGGGAAATCTTCAGTTTGAAGAGAAAGACCCCACAAGGCAGGCAGTCACATCCCCACTCATTCATTCATCCGTTCAGACTGTCAGTCCCTTGTCAACAGACAGGGACTTGTCAAGCGACCTGTTACCTGCGCCCAGTGCTGTGCGAAGGCTTTCAAGGAAAGGGCTACAGGAGCTCCAGCGTCCACCCTGTGCTCTCCCGGAACCCAGCCGCTGGCCAGGCCGTCGAGCACACAAGCTTTGGTGCAGACACATCTGAACTTGAATCCTGAATTCTGCCAGGTGGCCTTTGGCAAGTTATTTAACCTCTCTGCCCTTGGTTTCCTCTTGGGGTTAATAATGCCAACCGCCAAGGGCTGTCATCAAGACTAAGTGAGACCATCTGCACAAAGCATTCGGCACAGAGCTGGGCACCCAGCAAGCACGCCAGAAATGCACTTCCCAGGACGGTGCCCTTGGTGCCCTTGGCTCGCCGGCCGGCTCTGGGGGGTAGGGGGTGGGGCTCAGCCGGTCGCAGGGAGCCGGTGATGACATCCCCGGTCTCTGCCCTCAATGATCCTGGAGGCGACTGGGGACTGCTCTTAGTTCCTTCATCTCTAAAATGGGGCAGAGGTGGTGATCCCCCGAGAGGATCTGGAAAGAGCATTAGCGCCTTGCTGGGGAAGGGCCTGTGGGAATATTGAGTTCCAGCACAGCCTTTGGCTTTGTCATCCCTGCCACCGCAGCCCTGCGGGCTGTCTTTACTAATAGATATTTTAAAATTCCCGAACCCACTTCATGCTATATTAGCTAGCACGCAGAGGTTTATTCAGTGTTAATCACATTAATCTGCTGTTTCATTTCACGCTGTGTGATGCCAACTTCAGTGAGAGCCAGGAGAGCAGAATTTACTCTCAAAGGGCTTCGTGCTGTGTTCACCCAAACGGCGCCTCGTCAAGGCATCTCAGAGGCCCAGGGACCTCTGGGCCACCCCCGCACCCCTCAGGGGAGCCCCGAAGCCTTACACAGTCTGCCTTTCAAGTGTCTCTCCGTATATATTAGTTTTTACCCTCAATTAGAAATCTTGTAGGCAAGCGTCCAGTTTTTACTAGCTATCTCTAATTCTTAAACAATGCAAACACATGCTATTCAGTAAAAGCTCCCCAGCAGGTGCCTGTCACAAAGGGACTCTGAGCATACTGGAGTTTGGAGGGTCCTTTGAGATCTCCCAGTAGGACCCCCTCACGTTACAGACGGAAAAACTGAGGTGTAAGGACTTGAATCTCTCCTCTCTTGGCTCCTTCCTTAAGCCAATGAATAACCTTCATTCAGATCTTAAACACAAAACAACACATTTGCCAGTTTTTTCTTGGCCCTGCGCCCCAATCTGCTTGAACCTCCCACTTGCCCTTGGGGTCCTGTCAGCCAGCTGCCAGCCCCAGATCCTACTTGCTGAGGAAAATGGAAGCCATCCGACAGGAACATGTACCACCAGTGACCCCGTGGCCCAGCCCAGCACGGAACAGTGTCCCCCCAGGGCCACAGGCTGCCCTCCGTGTGCTGGTGGCCCTCCGCCACCTGCCTACCCAAGGACCTTGTCCCGCACCTCTCACCCCATTCTTACTTCACCAATTTACCTTTCCATGGGATCATTCCTCTCGACATACGCACATGCTCTCATTTAAAAAAAATTTTTTTTTCATTTTTAAAAATTGTGTATAAAATCCTGCCTTGACCTTGCATCCTCCTCCAGCTGTGCCATTTCTCTCCTTCAAAATCCTGCAGTTTCCCTTTCCTCATCACCTGCCGCTCACTTTTTCTAAGTTGCTTTTTTCCCTTTTTTTTTCTTTTTCCTTTTTTTAAAGGTTTTGTTTTGTTTTGTTTTTTTATTAGAGAGAGAGAGCACAAGTAGGGGGAGCGGCAGGCTCTCCGCTGAGCAGGGAGCCCAATGCGGAGCTCGATCCCAGGACCCTGAGATCATGACCTGAGCCGAAGGCAGACGCTTGAGCACCCAGGCGGCACCCCCCCACCAGTATTTTTTCTAGGAAAAACATAAGCCTACAGCAAAGTTGAAAAGTATTAAAGTACCCTCGGCCTAGATTTTCCCCAATTAGCATTTTGCCACATTTGTTTTCCTTTTCTCTAAGAGATAATACACCTATATATAGTACATAATTTATATATAGGTAACAGATGCATAAATGAGTATATATAAATTATGTATATAAGTATATACAGGTGGGTATGTTTAGTTTTGTTGTTATTGTTGAATCACTGGAAAGTTGCAGGGATCCTGCTCCTTCACCCCTCAATACTATAATAAATACTACAATGTGTGTCTCATAAGAGCCAGGATACTCTTACTTACTTAACCACAGAGCATTATTACAAGAAATTGAATGCTAGTACAATATTATTTAACATAAAGTCCGTTTTCGGATTTCTCCATTTGCACCAAAAATGTCCTTCATAATGATTTTTTAATCCAGATTCCAGTGAAGGATGAGGCCCACCCCAATTTAACTGCCAGATTAAACCTCCACCCAGACCTTCCAAGGTCAGGTAACTTCATTACCAAACCTAAAGGCTCTTTCTCTGGCCTCAATGGGGGCTCAGCCAGGGCAGTCTCCTCTGGACTTCCAGGTTAGCACACAGTCCTTTACTCCCTCTTTCCTGCTCCTTCCCTTCTCTCAGTCCTCCCTCTGTCCTCTCCAGGCCTCTGTACTGGGCTCTCCTGTCCAGCTCCCAGGTGCTCTCATCTAGGCCCATGGCTTTAGCACCGGCTGCAGACGGATGCCGCCCACATTTCCAGCATCCAGGGCCAACCCGGTCTAACCCATCTCCCCAACTCCAGACTGATGTACCCCACTGCCTTCTTCTCAGCCTCTCCCCTGGGACATGCCACCAGCACCTCCAACCTGAGATGTCCAATTGGAAGCCTCCATGTTTCCCTTCTTCCCCATCTCAGTAACAGCATCACCATCACCTACCACCTGGTCCTGAATCCACCCTTTCCTCCCCAGCCACGCCCTCCCTCCTGCGCCCCCCCCCCCCCCCCCCGCACTGGATCCTGTCTCAACTCACGCTGCCTCCATCTTCTGCGCTACCACGAAAGTCTGGTCCACCCTTAGCGGCCGGAATACCCCGGGGCGGGGGGCGGTTGGGGGCTAGTTCCAAACTGCTCTCCACCCTTGCCCCACCCCACAATACATTTTTCCAGCTGTGTTAATCTTTTAAAATGTAATCCAGGTCGGACCACTCCCTCTCTTAAACCTCTCCAACAACTTCTCACTGTAATGAGAAAACATTCCAACTCAGCAGGGTTTATGAGGCACTTGGTGGTCTTAAGAGCCCCGCCTCTTTCCCCACCTCCTCCACCATTGTTTCTGGTGACCCAACCCTGGCCTCCCTCGGGGTTTTTGTTTGTATGGTCGTCTGCCTCTGCCTGCTATGCTCTCACCCGGGATCTCAATGGCTGCTGGGCTCTCGGCCTGCAACTGCCCCCAAGCTCACACCGCACGGACCCGGCCACCAGCGTCAGCTGCCCTCTCACATTAACGTCCCGGGAAGGGCTCTGATTGGCTTAGCCCGTGTCACATGCACACCCCGTCCAATCATCTGTGGCCAGAGAGGTCATTGGGTGGAAACATGGCTGCCATGGTGCCTTGGTTCCTCTGGGGTTGGAGGACTGGGAGGGGGGACGTTCCTGGAGAAGGGGGTTGTGTCATGAGCTGCAGTTTGCCTTTTCTACCTCTGCTCAGTCTTCAGTGCACGGGGCCGGTCAGCAGCGTTTAACCTATTGGGGACTGCCCCTTTTATTTGTCCAATGAAAGGTTGTTTTAACCAAAAAAAGGGCAATATATAGTTACTGATAAAAAAGTTCAAAAATACAGAAAATAATGGGGAAAGAGACCCCAGATTTCTACCAGCTGATGACAACCACTGTTAACCTCCTCTGGCTCTGTTGTCCTCTGGACAATTGCCAACCATGAACCCGAAGGGCCGCTCTCCTCGCAGCTTCCTCAGAGTGCAGTTCTGATTATTTATTTATTTAAAGGTTTTATTTATTTATTTATTTATTTGAGAGAGAGAGAGAGTGTGTGCGTGTGCGGTGGGGCGGGGGATGGGGGCAGGGGGAGAGGAGAGAGAGAGAGAGAGAGAGAGAGAGAGAGAGACCATGAGCAGGGGGAGGGGCAGAGGGAGAGGGAAAAGCTGACTCCCCGCTGAGTAGGGAGCCTGAGGTGGGGCTGGATCCCAGGCTCTGGGATCATGACCTAAGTGGAAAGCAGAGGCTGAACTGGCTGAGCCACCCAGGCACCCCCCCCTTTATTTATTTTTGTTAAGGAGGCTCTGCCCCCAAGCAGGGCCTGACCTCAAGACCCTGAGATCAAGACCTGAGCTGAGATCAGGAGTCAGAGGCTTAAAGGACTGAGCCACTCAGACGACCCTTAGTTCCGATTCTTCTTTACTTTTCTTTTCTTTTTAGGGTGGGGGAGGGGCAGTGAGGATCTTAAGCTGGCTTCATGCCTAGCTTGGAGCCCAGGGTTCCATCTCACAACTCTGAGGTCATGACCTGAGCTGAAATCAAGAGTCGGATGCTTAACCTACTGAGCCACCCAGGCGCCCCCAGTTCTGATTATTTTTTTTTTTAAAGATTTTATTTATTTATTTGAAAGAGAGAGAATGAGAGACAGAGAGCATGAGAGGGAAGAGGGCAGAGGGAGAAGCAGACCCCCTGCCGAGGAGGGAGCCCGATGCGGGACTCGATCCCGGGGCTCCAGGATCACGACCTGAGCCGAAGGCAGTCGCTTCACCGACTGAGCCCCCCAGTTCTGATTTTTTTTTTTTTTAAAGATTTTATTTATTTATTTGAGACAGAGAGAATGAGAGACAGAGAGCATGAGAGGGAGGAGGGTCAGAGGGAGAAGCAGACTCCGCAGGGAGCCGGACGCGGGACTCAATCCCGGGACTCCAGGATCATGACCTGAGCCAAAGGCAGTCGCTTCACCGACTGAGCCCCCCAGGCGCCCCAGTTCTGATTCTTAACCCCATTTTTTTCTAATGCTCACTCATCCCGTGTGGTAGCTTCAAACCACCGCCTTTGTGCTGGTGATTCCGTCATTAAATCCTCTCCTGCCTATTTCTTAGGTACCAGTTTGTATCTCTCTGTCGGACCTGGCAAGTCCATGAGATGCCTGTGGGCGGCTCAGACTATAGGCTCGTCACACTCCCTCCATGTCCTCACATCTCTTCCTCTCTTGACTGAAACCCTAATTATGGCATCAACATTCCTCCCATGGTTAAAGCCAGAAACTTCCAGGTTATTCTCAGTTTCTCTCACTCCCTGCCTCCCTCACCTCATACTCTTCACCAATCCTATCCATTGTACTGGTTAAATGTGGCGGGCCCCGTTCTTGCTTTTCTGCTCTCACTTCCAAGCATTGGTTCATCCCATCTTGCTGTAACTCGTGGAGTCTTCTTCCTGACCTCCCTGGCTCTAGTCTCCCCTGCCCCTGCATCACCGCCCCCCCCCCCCCACACCCTTTCATCCCCTGTGATTATCTCTCTGAATTGTGGCCAACGGTAATTTTCTTGAATGTCCCTGTAATTATTCTGTTGTCCGCCTTTTAGTGTCTCCAGTGGCCCTCTGCTGCCCACAGGATTAAGCCCCAACTCCTCAGCATGGTATCTGAGGCTCCCACAATCTGGGAGGAACTGACTGGAAGACATTTGTAATTCCCAGGAGACGCTCCAAGACCTGTGCCATGCTCTGTCCTCCTGAACAGCCACAACCCTGTCCACTTGTGGCTCCTCCCCATAAATGGGTCTTTGTGAAATTCCCTTCCTTTGATCAGACACCATCACCTCATCCCCATCCACCAGGAAAAATTTCACCCTCGGGGCACTTGGGTGGCTCAGTTGGTTAAGCAGCCGACTCTTGATCTCGGCTCAGGTCATGATCTAAGGGTCCTGGGATTGAGCCCCATGTCGGGCTCCCCACTCAGTGGGGAATCTGCTTGAGATTCTCTCTCTCCCTCTCACTGTGCCCCTCCCCCCAGCTCACACGTGCGCACACACGCGCCCTCTCTCTCTAAAATAAATAAATCTTAAGAAAAAAACAAAAAAACAACAACTTCACCCTCCAAGCTCCTGCCTGAGGGTTACCTGCTTGTGACATCCTCCCTGAGAAAAGTCCTGCTTTTCTGTGCTCTGGGAAAATGGAATTTATAGCAAGAAATGTATAAATAGAAATCATTTCTGTAGGAATAAATGCAAAAGGCTAGATTTTGTTCCTTGATGCCCTGGGTGCTGCCACACCAAACCCCTCACCCACAGATCCCGCTCCCAGTTAGGACCCGCCCCCCGCATGTGCATATATAAATGCTAAATACTTCACACAACGCTCCTGTCTACAGATAATGTTTCCCTGAGGCAGTGTGAGTTGGACAGAGAGGCAAGGCGGAGGGAGAGGCTCACCCACACTTACGTCTACCAACTCGGCCCCTGCATCTGGGAGGCTGAAGCCAGCAGCATCCCACCGGGACTCACATGGGTCCTGAGCATTTCTGCATTCACGGGTCCTTTCCTCCCTTCAAAAAAAATACATTTAACTGTATCACACATACATGTTGATACAAAAACAAACATAAGGCTGCCTTCATGATCATATATTCATTAGTGTTATATTCATTCTTTATTTTCTGGTTTTAAAATAAGTGATAATGAAGGGGCGCAGTTGGTTAAGTGTCCAACTCTTGGTTCAGCTCAGGTCAGGATCTCAGGGTCGTGAGATCAAGCCCCACAATGGGCTCTGCGCTCAACGCAGAGTCTGAGATATCCTCTCCCACTGGCCCCCACCCCGCTGTGTGTGCACGCACGCACACTCTCTCTCTTTCCGCTCTCTCAAATAAATAAATAAATCTTTAAAAAAAAAAATGAAAACATTTCCCAGGGCTCCTGAAGTACCACGGGCCTGAGGCACTGTGCCCTAGAGAATGTGCTCTGTACCTAATGGGGAAGCTGACCTTGACTAAGGGGAAATACCTGAAATTTGTTGAAAGCCCGGAGGTCTTACCTCCTCTTCTTCACAGCTCTTTGGGACCTTAGAGAAGAAACGTAGATTAGTGCTCTCTGCTACAATCTCATATACACTCACACAATAACACATGTTTATTCTCTCCAGGCCAAGGGATAAACCATTGATATAACTGCTAAATACACAACATATAATGATGTGTATCTTACACAAAGGAGTTTTATAAATACAGAACAGCCCACTGCAGTTGGCATTCAACGCCGTTCTCTGTGAGTTAGGCTTGTGTTATGGGGGCCACTAAGGCTGCCAGATTATGTGTATTCTCTGACTTCTATCCAAATTACTGTTGAGGAAACTGAGAATTAGAGGAATCCAGGAACTGGGCCAAGATGGCACAGAGAACAGTCGAAAGGGTGACTCCAGGATTTCAACCTCAGTGTGTGCTCTTATGAGTTGTTCTGGACAGTTTGAGTTTGAGGTGCCCAAAGGCCTTCCACTGGAAAGAGAGGTCTAGGAGGTATTTAGATAAACTAGCTCAAGGCTCAAGTGAGAGCCTTAACTCATGACACAGATTAGGGAATTATCCAAGTATTGGTGGCCTTTGGCAGTTCAAAGTGGATCATCTTGTTCACTGTGTTGGTTTCTCTGTGTCACCGGGCCAGTCAGCCAGTTTCCCTAGTCCTGTTTCTGCACTTTTTTTTTTTTTTTTACGATTTATTTATTTATTTTTAGAGAGAGAGAGCACGCATGCATGGGGGGAGGAGCAGAGGGAAAGGGAAAGGGAGAGAAATCTCAGGCAGACTCCCTGCTGAGCAGGGAGCCTGACGTGGGGCTCCATCTCAGGACCCTGAGATCATGACCTGAGCAGCAACCAAGAGCTGGATGCTTAACCGACTGAGCCACCCAGGAGCCCCTGTTTCTGCACCTTTAAACCATCCTGACTGGTCCTCCTCTTGGGAGCTGGGCAGCCTTGCTCCTTTGGTGGCTCTTACTCCCTAATCTTTTGCAGGGATGGCTGGTTTCTGAGAAAAGTTTAGGGGGCACCTTCCATTCACAGGCTCAGGGCTTCCATCTCCAGACCCACTACTCCTCAGTGGATGAGATGACAGAATTTGACTTTCTTCACTTCGGTGTCTGACATGCTCTAGGGACCCAGTTCCTGGGTGACATTCTATGTACTCATCCACCTGAGAAATAGTTACTGAGCACCTACTATGTACCAGACATCATTGTAGGTACTGAGGATACAATTGTGATCAAAGTAGACAAAATCCCTGACCCCCAAGAGCTCATATCATAGTATAGAGGCAGGAGGCAGATAATAAAACATTAAGAACAATGCTGTATGTCATGAGGAAGATAAGGCCGCATGATGTGGTATGATGGGGACGGGGAGGGAGGCAGGGAGAGGGCTCTAGGGGGTGGTGGTGACACTGGTCAAGGGCATCAGCAGAGAAGGACTCTCATAAGTCAGGGGACATCCAAGTTGAAACCTGGATGAGGAGAAGCCACAAGTCATGGGAAGGTGGGGTACATGCAGGGCGCTGAGGTCAGGAGCAGCAAGTCCTGCGGGGTCTGGGCATGGCCTGTCTGGAAAGCCCGCCTGCCAGGAGAATGGAGAAGGGGCTTGGAAAGACAGGAAGAGCCGAGGGTGGGCAAGGGGTACTGCCCTGGGCAAGAAGGCCCCACCCAGGGCAGCCAAGGATCAGCTGACTGGTGGGAAGGGAAGAGTAAGTCAAGCGAACACCACTCCTGGGGCGCCTGGGTGGCTCAGTCGTCAATCTCTGCCTTCGGCTCAGGTCATGATCCCAGGGTCCTGGGATTGAACCCTGCATCGGGCTCCCTGCTCAGCGGGAAGCCTGCCTCTCCCTCTCCCTCTCCCCCTGCTTGTGTTCCCTCTCTTGCTGTGTCTCCCCGTCAAATAAATAAATGAAATCTTAAAAAAAATTCTTAAAAAAAAATTTTAAGGGCGCCTGGGTGGCTCAGTCGTTAAGCGTCTGCCTTCGGCTCAGGTCATGATCCCTGGGTCCTGGGATCGAGCCCCGCATCGGGCTCCTGGCTCAGCGGGAAGCCTGCTTCTCGCTCTCCCACTCCCCCTGCTTGTGTTCCTGCTCTCGCTATCTCTCTCTGTCAAATAAATAAATAAAATTTTTAAAAAAAAATTTTTTTTTAATCTAAAAAACAAGAGAACACCACTCTTTCCTAAGGAAGGAGAAAGAGGGAGGAAGAAGGAGCAAGAAGGAAGCAGCCGCGAGATGGTCCACAATTTCCCTGGCCCTTTGTGAAAACGTACCAAGAATTCCCAGATGGCAGCAGCACGAGCATCGAGCCTCGCTGGGCCCCTCTGAGTGCCTGGCGGAGCCACAGAACAGGACGCGTCCCTGACGCCGCCCCGGGCCGCGAGGAGCCCCTCCCGGGAAGACGAGGCGCAGGTCCTCCCTGCACTGCAGGGGGCTCACAGACGGGACTCGAGCACAGTGCCAAGGTGGTGGATTACATTTTTCTCTTTGGATGAAAATGTTGCAAATTGTACAATGTTGCCAAACCAACACAATTCATGGAGCTGATTTCGGGGACTCTCTACTTGTTCGACACTTCTGAGAGTTGCGGTGTTTTCTTTTTTCTTGGGAAGGCTGGGGTGGCTGGTGGGTGGAGGTGGGGCCAGTGCCCTTTCTCCTCCCTCCACCCCCGCATGGCAGGCCGCAGGGCTGACCTCCGAGCAGGTGTAGCATTTTCCAGACAGGCCCAGTTGGTTGGAGCCAAGAATGTTTAAGCCCATGCATTATGTCAAATACCATTTATATCAAAATACCCCTCCTTAATCTTAGGCTAATTACCTTACGATTAACACTAGTCGTCTGACCTCGGTAAACCATGTATCCCCCCTGAACATCAGAGTTCCTCATCTGTAAAATGGAGATCATTTCATATTTCACAGGGGTGCTGTGAGGATTAAATTATATGAAACGCTTTTTAAAGAGTATTAAGGTCTAAACAGATGCCAGTGAATGTTCCCGCAGATGTGCTCAGCAGCAGCTTCATCGGGGCAGATGGGGGACTTTGGTTCAGCCGCGGCTTGACAGAAACGTTGGGGCCACCTGACTCCCAGGCTCTAGTGTATTCTTAACTATCAACTTCTGATCTTCAGTTTCTCAAGTAGCTTCCTTTCCTGGGGGGGAATCCCCTCGCCTTTCAGTTATGTTTGAGATGACAGATCAATAATCCTGGCTTATGTGCCACATTCTTGTGAGTTGGGCTGGCTTCGTAATTTTAATTGTCCCTAGATGAACCGAAAAGAATCCAGACCTTGGACCCGAGGGTCAGTAGGGGACAGGTCATCATTCTTACTCATTTTCTTAGTACATAGTGCACTTGAGTAACACTCTCATTAAAATGTGCTTAAAGGCAGATGCATTTATGCCAAGAGTGGGCAACGCAACGCTCCCGATGCTGTGGGGTGGAGAACGTGGGAGTCTTCCACAATCCTCCTGCCTGTGCGGGGGCTGTTCCTTCTGCCTAGAAGGCTCTTCGCTCAGACACGCAGGAGGGAAGTCACCTCCTCCAGGAGACCCCATCTCAGAGGGCTCTTTCCTCTGCTCCCGCCTCTCCCTGTTTACCCGGCTCAATTCTTCCTGGCACATGCCCACCTGATTCATGTCCTATGGGCTTCTTTGGAATCTCTGCCACCAAATGTGAGCTCCAGGAGAGCTGTGACTGTTTGCTGTGGTGTTTCTAGGCTTAGGATTCACAGCCTTGGGCAGCAACGGGATCCAGCTAGCACTTACAAGGTTCTTTTGTTTTCACTGTATTTATTTATTTAAAAGATTTACTTTTTAGAGAGAGATAGAGAGAGCAAGGGGTGGGGAGAGGCAGAGGGAGAGGGGGAGAGAATCCAAGCAGACTCTGCACCAAGTGTGGAGCCCAACATGGAGCTTGATCTCACGACCCTGAGGTCAAGACCTGAGCCAAAACCAAGAGTCGGATGCTTAACCCACTGTGCCATCCAGGTGCCCCTCACTGTATTTATTTTTAAAAATATCTTCTGTTGGTGCCTCTGGATGGCTCAGTGATTTAAGTGGCTTACTTAAATTTAAGAATGTAAGTTATTTTATTTTTATTATTATTTTGTGGGGGAGGGGCAGAAGGAGAGAGAGAGAGAGAGAATCTTAAGCAGGCTCCACGCCCAGCTGGACTTTTAACACACTGAGCCACACAGGTGCCCCAGGATATTTTAAGTTTTAAGGGAGAAATCCAAACTCAGAGAAAGGAAGGTGGGGAATGAAGGACTGAATGCAATTTGGGGCTCACCTCAGGGTGAAGATGCCATGTTTGAGCCTTCGTCGAGGCTACTGGCCTCCACGTCTCGGAGACTCCCCCTGCCCCCCCAGCATGGGATCTGACTGTGGCTATTTGCTCGGTGACTTGATCATACACTATGTTCCACTGACTAGTGGAGACAGCGTCCAATCTTGGACCGAGAAATTCCCCGAAATAATGTGAGGTGGCGGCGCTGCACCATTTTAGTGTTTTTACCTGTGAAACTCACTGCCAGCA